AGTATATCAGCAAGGTATCTTTTCTATCTTTTGACTTTTGAAGTGGATAGTTTTTTAGACGAATCTTACCGTATAGGGTCAAAACTGACCCCATAATGTTCTACACGTAATATTTTTGTTTGTTACTCTTTTTTAAATGATTTTTAAGTATGTATAGTTTCATTTATCTATGGATGCCAATTAATTTGACATGATGATTAGGTTCGAATATTTTTCTCATTGTCATAATTTATGCACCTCACATAAGATGGATACAGAGGCAACTAGCTCTATGATCACTTTTTTTAGTTTTCTGAGTCAACATGTTGAGATCATTCAAATGGCATCAGATCGTAACCAAACGTATTGCCTGTAAGAAATAGTGACAACAACAAAAGACTCACATGTGTTAGAAAGCTGGGGTCAGATTTGATCCCAATGGACCACCATTAACTTTCTAGGATAATTCAATTAACAATGCTCCAATCTTAGTAAAAACGTATGAGTTCTAAACATATATACAAAGAAACTCATAAAAGAAACAAGAAATGTCAAAATGGCACATATCTATATACGCCCGGGGTCAGTTTTGACGCCATACGGTGGGTTAAAGGTTAAAGGTTGTTGTCGACCTTTCAGTGGGCACATTGTTCCGAGGCATATCTCTTTACGTTGAAATTTGAAGATTTAGACTCGCCATCTGGAATCTTTAACGCGGTGTTTAGAACCTTTAACACATGCCCTGGCTTCGTCGCGTTGTTCACTTGATCATGGGTCAGTACTGGACGTGTTATTTAAATAAAAAAGGCCACATCTCCACAACAGCGTGACGTTTACGGGGCCTGTTTTTGTTTGCAGATCTGACTTACCAGGGAATCAATCATTTCAGAAGGTCAGTATTGTTTACTTTCCTAAACATTTAATAATAACGTGTCCAAAGAATTAACAGAGATAAAAGTTAATGCTAAGCCGAAAAAATACAGAAGGTAGTCAAACGTCGTACAGAACTTCGTAATTCCCTGGTGGAAACAGACCCCGATCAATGCGGTTAAAAGGACAAAATACTGTTCTGATGTCATCTGTCTGCCGTCATGTAGGTCAAGTTTTCTGTGCCAGGGATCGTCAGTTATTTTGCGAACATAAATTTACAGTATTTTGCAATTTTCTGCATTCTGGTGCACTTTTAACCTTCAGGTTCAGAACCCAGATAGTTCACTAATAAACCTGTCTGCGTGAAATCCCACACCATAACTGTGTGCATTGCGGTTGTAGAAACATAGACTCAATCTTTGAACTCGATAACGCAACGTTTAAGCTGCATTAATTTTGTATTTGCATATATTGCACTGTTTTTAGACATCGTCAACTCATTAGAAAAAGATGACCTAGGTAAGTGTTACTGTAATTGGAGCATGCATTATAAATGAAAGGATGCCATCGGAGAGGTCTTGTTTATGTTACAACAAGTGTTGGTCATAGGTCAATTTGAGGGTATTTACATGTATATTGTTATGTTATATTGCTTCATGTTATGTGTGGTCGTCTTCGTCAAAGAAGATCATAGTTCACTTCGAAAGTTAATTGATGATCGTTTTACGATCAAATCACATATATTTGGCAGCAAGAGGTAGACAGGGAGTCGGCAGTCTGTTATGAGAGAGTAGTAGAATTCTGTTAGTTATTCTTGTTTGTACCTCTAATTCAGATGTGTTATTTCCGATTTCAAATTAATACCTGTAGTAGAATACGTGTAGAATATTGTATAGTTCAGTATAAACACTGATTGTTTTTGTGTTTGTGTAACATAACTTATCTTAGCAGCTAGACTCCTACTTCTAAAGTTATCTTTGGTCTAAAAGTTACATTGTGCCAAAAAATTACACTACATTACACTGTTTTTAGACATTGACATTGTCAACACATAAAAAAAAAAGAATGACCTAGGAAGGTAGTTCTGTAATTGGAGCATGCATTATAAAGAAAAGGATGCCATTGGATATGCCTTGTTTATGTTATGTCATGTTTCGATAGCTCCCAAAAAGCTGGAGGAATTAAGATATTTAACATCCAGCTGTTTTACAAGCAAGAATGGTCTATATGAAGCTGAAATTTTAGTGCTGGTCAAAGTCAATTTAAAAGTATTTATATTTTTATGTGGGAGTGTTATATGGTTGTATGTTATTTGGGGTCATCTTAACTCAAAGAAGAGCATATTTCACTTTAAATGTTCGCTGTTGATCTTTTTACCGTATCAAATCACACATATTTGACAAAAAGAGGTAGGCAGACAGTCTGCAGTCTGTTAAGAAATCCGTTAACTATGCTTGTTTGTACCCCTTCTAAATCAGATGTGTTATTTCGGGTATCAAAGTAATACCTGTAATAGAATACGTGTATACTGTATAGTTCAGTATAAACACGACTTGGTTTTGTGTTTGTGTAACATAACTAAAGTCAGCAGCTAGACTCCTACTTCTAAAGTTAACTTTGGTCTAAAAGTAACATTGTGCCAAAAAATAAGTATGAAATAGAGGTCATAACATCTATCAGAATATTGTATTTTCTAGCTGTCTTAAGAAGTTGATTTGCTCGATTTCAAACAAATGGTAAAAACGGGACGACATATAGCATTTTTGGAATTAAAATCGTAATTGAAACTTCTGTCAAAAGGCATTTCTGGTAATATTTTTGTGCCATGAGAAATAGTCAATACAATCAATTTTCAGTTGATCTATATAAACGAGCTGACTACATGACCTGAAGACTCCTTCATTTTACCCATCTGAAATATGACGTTTTTTAATGCAAATGACATTTCCATTTTAACGAGAAGTCGCCGTGGTCTATAAAACGGTTTTTCTCTACTGTAATACTTTAAAATTAATTTGAAAATGAGCATTGTCATATTGAACAGAAAGGGTCGATTATTGTCTCACTTTAAATTCTGCTTATTAGTTAAAAGGCCTAGAAGAAGCCCTGTCTTACTATTAACTAGGTGCTGAAATTATAGCTTAACCTTAACCACAGCCATGGAAACTCACATATCCATCAAATTACATGAGTTACGTGATGGTTTTACTTTACTTGTAAGGACAGTTGGAAATTCTTAGGAAGTTTTTTTTTCTGTTGGAACAAATTATTAATAATGTAGACATAATTTCTTTATGCAGAAAAATTTTAATCACTGTTAATGAAAATTTCCTTATAAGATTTGTTTCAAATGGCTAGTTATAGAGCTGGCAATAAACATATGTTAACATAAGGCTGTATTTCAAATACAAAAATGTATATTGGATTACCTGTAAAGTGTGTCTTGAATTGACCTCATATCTACATAAACACATAAACCCTAGACCGTCTACCTGTTGGGAACAATGTCATGGTCAGAAATTACCATAAAACTGTATGTTATTATAACATTAAGACATGCTCTTATTAAAAATTGGGGACTGATTCAGGTCAGTTGAACATTTTGGTTGATTTTAAGGCGATCAGAAAAAAGTCTCTGCGCTA